AAGAACTTGGAGACATCTCCTTCTTCCATGGCCTTAGCAAGACAGCTCCCGAACATCTTCGCCCGCTGTGGCTGGCCTCAGCCCTCCTGAAGCGGCTACACTGCCTAGATCTAACGTACAAGTAGACGTTGTCTTGGAATAAAAGGCATCTCTTGAACCTTGAGACCCACACCCTCCTTGCACCACGGGAAGAAGAGCCAGTTTAAACTGGTGGTGAAAGTCCCCTATCCCAGAAAAAGGAATTCACTAGATCTACAAGTCGTGACATCTAATCGATCAATGCCAGGACATTGGCCGCCGCGGCGACTGACTGTAAGCAAGTGCGCGCTTCGGAAGAACGTGGCGAAAGATGTAATGGAAATCGTTGTGGAGCTACCTGGTACGACCACTGTACTAGATCATGTGGTTGGTGCATACCGCATACTTATCCATCCATCTGCCAATAAGATCTCATCCATCCGAGAGAGGGGTCACATGGACTGACCCCCAAATCAAAGGCTCCGCTCGGTCAGCCCAAGGCGCCGCTTGGATCGGGAAGTAGAGGAATCCCAGTGCCTCGGAACGTCTCCGTCTTTCTTCTTATCGTGCGCGGGGAACTGTGGGCAGGTAAGCGCAGGGGAGCCGTGTAGCTGTTCTTCTGACGAAAAACTGCCAGAAGGGGTGAAACCATGTGTGTGAAGAACCAACTCCACTTCCACGAAAGCTTCATGATGGACCCTGCCAACTGCCAGTTTTGGCCCCACTGCAGGCAAATATTCTCTTTAATGCCGGCTTTCCTAACAATTTCCACTAGAGCACCCACCACCTGAAGTGTCGCTCGTCTTCCATTCTCGAGGGCTCGGTTACACGTCACATGTCAAGCAGCATGCAGCATGTGCTTCAGCCCTTCTGAGGTCCACACCAAGGGCAGGAAGAAGATCCACATCACATTCGTGCCTGACGGCCCACGGCACGCGAGGCATGTGACACTCACACTTGCGGCAGGCACTGGTGTCAGGCACTCGTTCGTTCTACCCGGACAGGAAGAGCCAATAGAGCCATGGTATCCAACATCTCTTGGACAACAATCTCTTGGTTTTGAATCTGGTCCTCCAAACAAAGGAGGTTTTCAACTGGTCAACATGCTGGAAACTCCGACTCCACAAACGTTTCCGCTGCTCCATGCCCAGCACGGCGCATGGCGCCGTGCTCCAGTTGGGTGAGTCGGGTGGTCACCCTGGGCTCCCCGGCAGTAGTGCTCCAAATGCCCTGGCAGTGGAGATACTTCATGACCTGGATGGCTTGGCGTGCCATGCGGAGATGGGGGCAGAAAAATGCTCGGCAAACGGAAGACTTCCTGGCAGAAGTCGCGGAATGAAAGAGGGGAGGTGGATGCAACTCAAACACTCTCAAAGCGAATGCGGAAGGTAGTTTGTTCACCAACAGACTCAAAGAGTTGAGAAAGGAAAGAAACACGTTACGATCTGAAGACTCATCTATAGCTCTTCCACCATGACGGGACATGTACCTCCAAGCAGGACAGTGGCATGCAGTGACTGCAACTAACTGCTTGGAACGTGCGACACCGAACCGGCTACGTCGATGCATCGACGCTTCGGTCGGCGCCTCCGGCGTCGAGGACTGTGGCATCATCCTCATCCGTCTCCTTGGAGTAGCCCTCAGCCGACCGTGTGAAGCACATGGCAGGTTTCCGGACGCACCACTTTGGAGGCCCCAAGGTTCTATGGAATTCAAGACGGAGCGAACGCCAAAACAGAAGGGTCTACCGAGGCCCGGTTTCTCTTCACACAGATGTCAGGGACTCATGTGATGCGTCCCATGGGTGACACATGAAGAGAGTGGTGGAGCATGAAGAGGAGTTGTTCGCTTTTAAGGGAGGTGTTTCACCGGTTTGTTGGAACAGATCCTACTTCTCTCCTCAAACACGTCCGTACCGCCCCCAAAGTACTCTCGCCATATCTCGCCCAGTTGCAGCTGACTCAAGGTCATCCAGCAAAGGATCCTCGGAACCAAGAGAACTGACTCCTCCCCTTTGCTCACCCAAATGAAGAAAAACACCATGTTTAAGGAAGGGTCGTGTTATATAATTGTCCTTCTGCGTTTGATGTTTATTTTTACAGAATCCCGCTCGATATTTTTACGTTTTTTTGGTTGTTTTTCTTTGATTATGTTTCTTGGACTTCCTCCACCGGTGAAGGGCCAAAGGCCGATACCGTACGGACCCATGACATGCATGATTGACCGGTGACCGATGCCCAGGGAAGCGGAAGTCCGGGGAGATCGGGGGTTCCCAGGTCTCTTCCTCATCCTTTAGCTCCAGCAATCTGACAGCACCATCGGGCAAGAAACCCAAACAACGGCTTGACATAGATTGACCCAAAAAAGGCAAGGAAAGAACAGGCCTCCCCCCAAAAAGCTTTCTACGATTCTACAGGTAACTATGTGCTGCCCTACTGCCCTGTCCACATTGCACTCTCTCTCACCTTCCTTCTTCTCCAAGACTCTCTCTCATCCTTGAACGGCGGCCCTGGTGGACCCGGTGGTCGGGACCCTCCGGGCGGCATCTGCCCGTTGAGGTACGGCGCCGTGACCGGCCGCGCCATCTGGTTGGGCGGCCGCGGCGCCGCGCCGGCCGCGCCGGCCGCGGCGACCGCGGGCGGGCGGGTCTCCAGGGCCTGGGGCACGTTGCCCAAGGGCTGGGTTTGCATGCTGGCGGTGTAGGGGTCCACCTGGGCGAACGGGAGCAAGGGCAGTGACCAAGTGGAAGAGATCTTGAGAGACAGTCGGGCAAGGTGATACTGGAGGGTGTGGAGGAGCGATGTCAAGGCGTTCATGTTAGGTTAGATGTCCGCAAGAACATGCTCTCACAACTGACGGATCTCTCTGCATGCGGTCTTTTTCACATGCTGCTTTTAGCTGCAGTGGTGCTTGCGACCACAATACATTTCCAAAGGCCTGCTGTTGCCGACGGATGCATCTCTGATCCACTCCAGCATGTACTAATCAGTCCTGCAGAATGGAGAATGCTCAGAATGCCGTCCATCAAGGATCCCTTTTCTACATTGAATTGGGTGTTTGAAGGATCATCGAACATGGCACCAGCTTCAGGCATTGTTCAAAAGGCCGCAGGGTCACAGCCGCGGCATGGAACCATCCAAAACTCGCTCTATCCAAAAGGGCTCCGCTGTACCGGTTCAGCGACCTGAGGGAATTTCTGGAGCACTTCTTAGGGCCGAGCACGTGGCGAAAACACTGGGTCTGATCTTTGTGGAGCACTGCCCCTGGCCGAACCCTCACTGATGGAGGACTCACTCACTTGTCCCAGATTCGAAGGGACTGAACCCCGGAAGGTTCGCAACCCTTTTACCTACGTGGCATTGGCATGCATTGGCTATCTTTTCTTGCGATGATGGTTCATTGACCCAAGACAAACATGGCAGGAACATGGTTCATATTTATTGCAAACCAAAAGAAACTTGGGCACATCCAGCCACGGACAGTTCTCTTCACACAAAGATCCAAAGATCAATTATCAAAGATCTTGCCCATTTCAACTGCTCGAATCCCCTCATATCTCCTTGCAAGCGGGTCCACAAGCAAGCAAGGCATACAAGCCAGCAAAGTCTGCACATGTGGTCTGTGGTTGGTTCCAACGCATGGTGAAAAGCACTCACTCTTCCCCCAAAACCAATGGTGGTATCAAACCCCAGACCTTCTCAGCGTTTCTTCAAACCAACCAAGATCTTGCACCGCCTTCCTATTCTTCTCCGAGTCAATCTGAGCAATTATCAAATGGTCTGGGTCACCAAGATTTGGATATCCTTGCCAAGGAGGCCGGGGCTATGTGCTATTGGCACAGCAAAGTCCATTGGGGACGATCTCACAGCAAAGTCCATTGGGGACGATCTCACGGCGCTCACCACAGACCATCACAAGGTTTTAATGAAACTATGGGGCCATGGGGTGTGAATTCCGGGGCAGTTCTGGTCAGGCACTTTCGTTCTACGAGATGTCACGAGACACATCTGCACGAGACACGTCTACGAAGCTTGCGTCTTGGCTTCCCATCAACCAATTCAGCTGCAAACCATTCACCAAGCAAAATAATTCCTTCATGCTCAATGACCTATCATGAACGCGGTGCCGGTTGCCATTGCTTTCACCTGCCACACTGTCTGCAGTGATTCAGGTTCCGAACCCGCTCTGAAGATTAGCCCATCAACGACGTGCCGATGGGTCTGACGGTGGACCCGGCTGGGTTGTAGACGAGCATCAAGGGAGAAGGCCGGGAGTAGAACAGGAAGTGGACATTGAAATCCACAAGCAAAACGAAACCACTGGAAAACCATCAGTATATAGATCTGATAGAATTGCTATGCTTATCCCCAACATGCTCCCATCACAAACTCTTGAACGAGGATGGTCCATCAGTATATATAGGGAACCAGCTGGTCCTTCATTCGTCGTAGACATGAAACCTGGAGAGGCTTCCGTGCTACCCAATCTCTGCAAATGTTTCTCATTTCCTTTGCTGGCTCTTCTTGGCGGGGGGGCTCCCAAACTCAAAAGACACCGTCAACACCCAACACCCAACCAGGATTCGCTGACAGAAAGCAGGGTGGGGCGGACAGTTTTATTGTAGCCCTCCACTCAGTGGATTGGACCGTTGAGTTGACCCAGGAAAGAGGCCGTCCCAAATATGTTGCACACGAGTCACCCACCAAAATTACTTGAACTGCTCATGAGAAGACAATTGAAGGGGACCCCCCCGAAGAAATCAATGACTGTATACACTGTACACACCACTGTACACCTCTTGGACTCATCCATGGTTTACATGGGTGGCGTCGGTTTGGAGTTCTTCCGGGCCATCCCACCGGAACGAGGAGTCCAACTCCACGCCCTGGGACACCGAGACCCACCATGGAACCCTGCAGTGGTTTTACCAACCGGTCGGGGTTGGTAGTGGAAGGATCCCTTCTCTTCCAGTCTGGGTCCATGCCAGGTTCCATGTGGGTCTCGAAACCCCGAGAGTGGATCCATCTTCATTTCGTTGGGGTTTTCCTCTCCGAAGAGGTTGGGCGTGCCGCTCGGCCGCAACCCGATGTGGGCTTAGGCCTCTCCATCCCACTCTCAGGCGATTGGGACTTACTTCGTGGTTTTCCTGGGCGTCATCTGGGCCGCTTTTGTGGGGTGTTCCAGTGAAGAACCGGCAGGCAAACCGAGGAGACTAGGGATCCTAGGCGTGTGCTAGAGAACCCTCAAAATTTGTCAAGTTAAACAAAATGAGCACACAACTCCAATTTATCCAATTGCTTGACGCGCCAACACCCACAAAAACATCTGCAAGCTCTTCTTGAGGGTATGCTTCTTTTCTGGCAAACGACCCAATCCATTCATTGACCGTAGGTGGTCTTCAACAGAACCTGCAGCTATCTTTAAACAGAATTTGAGCCGGTGATCTGATCAACCCGACTGTGCCAGTGATGCAGGCACGAAACCATCAGTCACATGCCTTGGCTTGATAAAGAAGAAACATCTTCGGTTCATGAAAACGTCGCGGTTAAGGTAGGACATGTGATTGAATAAGGATCAGCTGGGCCAACTACAGATTCGTTTCAGGTGTCATTTTCCATTCAATGGGCCCATTCAATAACAAGTCCAACAGTAGCAGTCAGTACTGCAACAGTTCATCAGCTCCTGACTCACCATCAGCTCAGATCGACGCCGGAGACGCCGGAGACGGCGGAGACGACGACACGATCCTGCGGAACGTTGGTCGCCCAGGCGCTGGGTTTTCAGATCGTCCAACTCCTTCTTGAGCGCCTGGGCTGCGCGGCCCGGCTCCGCTCCAGTCAACAAATCCACCCAGAATCACGTTGAGGAGCAAAAGAACTCCATTTTTGGCCCAGCACACAAGAGGCGGTGATTTGGATGGCTTGACTTCATGTTCGTGATCCCCAATCAAATGCACCACGTGACTAATTGACATATGCCAGCTTCTTCAAAGTGACCTTTTGAAGGTTCCTAAGTGACCCTTAGGAGGCTTAAGTGACCTCAAACCAGGTCATCAAAAGGTCACTTTGAAGAACCAGGTGAGTATGTGGTCGGCTCCAGATTTTGCAGACACACCCGGCTCTGAGACGCCTGGATCTCCTGCTTCTGCTCGTCGATCTTGCGCTCATCCTGGAAGCGCTGACACTCACCACAGGGGCAAAAGATGGGACATCCATTGTGGGATGCGGCCATGGTGGCCACAAGCCCCTTCCCGCGCAGAAAAAACATCATTGAATCCACCACATTCAAGCTTCTGGCACAGGGGTTGTTAGGGGTATGTAAGGGGTGGCTCGCGTTTCCATCCTTGTGCATCGAAAAAGGAACGCAGCGCCCTGGTCTGCTTGAGCTGCAACCAACTCTTGGTGTTCCAGCGAGCCTCAAACATGTACATGACGCTCACAACGAACCCTCAAAAGTAGCTGCCCTTGGCATCCCAAACCTCATCTTGGGGAAGGTTCCAGAAACTCTACGCCCATCAATCCCCACCTTTCCAAAAAGCTACTGCTCTTGAACAAGTTTTGGCCACTGTCAAGCTCCCAAAGCAACAACTCAATTCTTAACAACAACGCACTGACACCATCCATCAACAACCCCAACCTTCCTCCCAGAGCCACTACCGGTTCTTCCCTCGTCATCTCCTGCACTTGCTGGTTCTGCAGCATCTGGTCGCTGGCGGAGGGCCCCACTGGCCCCAAGGGCACCGGCACGCCCAAGCCGAAGCCGAAGGGGGAGCCGAAGCCGAAGGGGGAGCCAAAGCCGAAGGGCGAAATCACCTCAGTGAGAGAGATTGAGGTGGGTGGCAGATTTGGAGGGGCACAAGGGGAAATCTGAATCTAAACAGGAAAAGCCAAATGTTTCTAGGGTTTTCTAGTGAATGTCGCCCATTCCGTGATCGCCTCATTTGCCTGAGAACTCACGAGCCATCGACAGCATCTATAAGTCTATAAGGTCTATATGATTCTAATTGATTCTATATGGATACACTCCCGAAAACTACCATGGACCCTGAGCATGGCACCCTGAACGCCTGTTTTCCTTTGCAAACCAAATGGTGTTCAGGGTCCATGATGTCCATCTCAGCACTGAACCCTTCCCCTGCCAGCACCGGGCTCTCTCAGAGTTGATCGAACCCATCCGAGACCGGAGTCCTTCCAAAGCTCTTTCTGGAACCTTCGATGGAAGACGCGTCTGCCCAGTCGCAGGTCCTCCGATGCCCACGGAGATGTTGGGACCACCACCGATGCGGGCGGAGCTGGAGCTCCTGCCCAAGCGGCGCTGCCCCAGTGGGTGATCTCCCAAGTCAGGGCCTTGAGAATCCAATCGGTCCTAAATATGGTTGGTTGTGCCTGGTATGAAGAGTGTCTCGCCTCCTCAACGGGGTTTTTCGGCAGAAGCAGTTGGCCTCGTTGCTGATCTCTATGGAGGCCTTCATGTGGTGATTACGTGCTGGGTTCTGAGACGATTCTCTATCATATATCTGCTTGCTCTTGGGTGCAAGCATCCAAGACACACCATTGCTGGTCTACGATCTAAGACGCCTGTCACAAAGCACCCCTCATGAAAAGCAAGACGTTGGCAATCCACGAAGGACTCTTAAAAGTGCTTCCTCGTCATATGGAACATTTTCCAGCCCACCCACTTACAGCAATTATATAACAATGTATAACACATTTGACCCTTCAACTCCACCAGAAACTTTTCATCAAACATCCATGTCCACCACCAAATGCCCCCACATATCCCGCCCTCCCCGTACCTGGCAGTGCTGTTGGGCCTGGGCGCGGCGCGTGGCGCGGAGCCCATGCGGCTGCCGCCCATGCGACCGCCCGAGCGGGCGGCCTCGGCCGCGTCCATGGGCAGCAGCGCCAGGAGAAGCGCCAAGAGCGGCACGGCCGCGGCACGGAGGGTCCAGGAGGGTGCGGCCTCTTGCAGTTTTGGGTGGGATGGGGTAGATGGGATGGGGAGGGAGGGAGGGAGGGATGGAGGGTCAGGGTGGTAAACGGACTCTGCTTCCGAGAGTTGATAATTGTGGACTTCTTCTTGTTCCAGTGGCTAAGTGCGGGACCCTGTGGAGTTGCTGGACATGACTCGATGAGTGGTAACGTGCTGGCAGCTTCTTGGGGGTATGAGTCCATTTGGAGTTCCCCATCTGACTTCCATTGACTTGCATTGATCCCTAGGTGCTGAGATCCATATATTAAGTTCTCCATTTGGAGCTTTCCCCCTGTTTCCCCCCAGCCTCACTCTGCTCCGACTGCTTCGACTCGCTCGTCCAAGCGCCATAGCTGCTACCCTTCTCAGCGGCCAAGGCCACGGGCGAGCTCAGGCGCGCTGGGGCCGCACGGTCGGGCAGCGGCGACACGAAGAGAGGCGTGGCCACCTGGGTTTTGAGCTCGAGGACGGGGGGTCAAAGGAGACCGCCTTTAGAAGGGAGCAAAGCGGGTGCAAAAACGTGATGATTTCCAGGACGACTGCAGCATACTTCCCTTCATTCTGCGGAGAATAGAGCAAAACGCTTCAAAGCCTTCAACCTACGAACAGCCACAAATTGTTGCTCGTTCCTGTTGCTCTACCCGCTTGTGGGCACCAATATACTTGGAATGCTCCTGGACTCCAATCATCCAACTGGCCAAAGCGATGCTGAAACGACTGAAACGTGACTCCAAGAACATGACCATCCTCGCCTCGCGGCTCTAGCGTTCCTCTCAGCTATTTCTGAAGTGAGTCATGGTGGGTGTGACAGCTTGACTCGCGTAGATAAGAAGAATTGCCAAGTCACCAAGGCCAAGGCAGTGGCTGCGCAAACGAAGGCAATGAGCCGTGCCATGGCCAAAAACCAGCGACGATTTCGACAGGATTTGGAGGAAGGGCACAGCCGGGAACAGCTGCCGGAAGCGACTCTCTCTCTCTCTCTCCCTCTCTCTGATCACGTGTGCTTTTGGACAAGATTGCTCCCTAGCCGAAGCTCAGATAAACAAGTGAATTCCCTTGACACAAATTAATTACAAATAAATATTATATAAGTGTATCCGTGTGGGCACCGCTCGAAATCCATACCTTCGTTGATTGGGACAGAAGCACCCTTGGAGGTTGAGGGTCTGAAAGCAAGCATGGGGCCGAGAGCTTGTTCAGCTGGAACTGTTGGTTGTTTCCAAGTGGAGACCCATCGAGTCCCTCATCTTCCGTGTGGCCACAGGGTCAAGCAAGAACAAACAAGATGGACAAGAAGAGACCTGATCCCCCAAAATCCCTTGAACGAAACCCAAGGCTCAGTCCGTTTGAACTAGGTTATTACAGCTCTTGGTAATGATTGAATACGTACTTTTTGAACCCAGATCCACTGACCAGCCGAGGCTCAACCAAACTGGACATTGAAAAGGGCATGAGGCGTTCGGGCAATGTTAGCTATTCTTTAGCATGGGCATCAATAACGCACGCGATTGGCATCCTCAAAACCTTCCAGACTCATCTGACCCATGTCGCAAGTTCATGTGCACCATTGGCTGTGGCAAAACGATGCGTGGCTGCTTAACCTCACGTGTTCGTCTCGCCTTCTGACGCCAAAGGCGCAGGTTTGCCATCGGCGGCTGTACAGGGCTGTGGCAGGTCTAGGGCCGCCTTTGGTCAGCGGTCCGGGCCGAAACAGGAATGCCACTAGGTCTCGTGACAAAGACCCCGGTGGGGTGGCACAAAGTACTTGGGAACTGAGTGGAGGCTGGCACATTTCCGCTGTGCCGGTTGAACCACCTGAGGGGATTTGAGCTTTTCGGGCTGCCACATCACCAAAAAAATGCAAACAACATCTCTTTCTACACTTTGTGGCAGGACTATGCTGGTCTCATGGTGGCGCTGGGAAAACATGTGAGAACTTTCTTGCAGGCCCGGTCAGCACGGGCGCCGGGAGGAAAAAACGATGGAAAGCAAAGGAAGAGAACTGCAAGCTGGCTACCTGGAATTTTTGACGAATGCAGCTGCAAAAGCCAACCAACAAAGGAACTCTCGATCTCGCCCGCTTCGCTCAACTCCCCTCAGATCTGGCCAGCGGGTCCACAAGCATGGAAGGCATCGGGTCGCCAGTGACTTCAACGCACGTGATTGGTGGTCCCCATAATAAAGGTGGCAAAATGAAGTGTGCTCGTCCCAACAAAGCCATATACGGTATCTTCCAACTCGGACTCTGAAAATGCCTAAGGTAGTTCTCACAAGCAGTGACTTGCAAACCTGTTCACCCATTTCCAGCACCAAAGGACCAAATTGAACCTGCATGACTTCCAAGTCCAACTTTACCCCCGCACACGCACGGGGATTCCACGCCGAATAAGGGCATTCCAACCATTTCAGCTGCAAACCATTCACCAACCAAAACAATTCGTTCATGCTCAACAACCGATCATGAACACGGTATTTCGGCGCCGGTTGCCATTGCTTTCACCTGCCACACTGTCTGCAGTGATTCAGGTTCCGAACCCGCTCTGAAGATTAGCCCATCAACGACGTGCTGATGGGACGGTGGACCCGGCTGATGGATCGAAAAGAAGCAAGAAGGCCAAGAAGGAAACAGCCCCACTTCTATGACATCAAGTTTTACCCTCCTCAAGTAGGATCAGTAGGCAAAGTAGGCAAGAACGGATGGGGAAAACCCGCTAATTACAGATCAGCCACAGGAACTCAACCAAATGAGTCAATGAGAGATTTATGGTTTGCTGGTCCCCTTGCCACCCAAGTATTCAATCTACTTCATACAGGTTATGTTCAAGAAATCAAGTAACCAACATATCGGCACCAGGTCAGGGACCTGATACCCATGGCCAAACTCGTCACCAACTTACAGTCTGATCAGTCGACAGATTCTTCCACCACCCTCCTACCACGGAGCACCTTTCGCCAGGCATGCTAGGGCCCAAAAGAAGTGCACAGAAGGTTCCGACTCCAGAACTTGAAACACACCCTTATCATTTAGAGCCAGCATGTTGAGCGCAGAGAAACGCAAAGACCCTCAACTTTTAGCACAGAAGAAACGAGGTACAATGCATTGTGCACACTGCCCACTGGGCCTACTTCGCATATACAGTACTTGCAGGGTACAAAGGCGCTGCACCTCAAAAGCCTTTGGTTGACAGGGACGCCACACCAGATCGTCCCACTTGGCCCTCTGCGGAGATCCGCTGATGCCACTCTCAAGCCATCTACTTCGTGGCCTTCCTGGGCAAAAACGCGGGGGACGTGATGCCCCAAGTGGTGCCTTCTGGGGGTCTATCTTTCTTTCGCACACCACAGCGCATGACAACCAGTGCTTCGGCCCCGTTTTGATGGGCTGGTGTAATTTTGGTAGATATCTTCAACAAAACATGGTTGGTTTGTTCTTCACGGAAGGCCAACTGTTGAGACCCAAAATGGAGCCTTTCCCTTCTTATCCCATCTCACCCGCACATGCGGCCAAGTGAATTCGCCAAGCAGCTGGGACTTCAACTCGTCCAACTCCTTCTTGAGCGCCTCGCCACGCTGCGAAATTCCCCAGAAACGCGTGCTGAGTCGATTTCCCCTTGGTCCATCTGAAGTATATGTCTGTGATGGTCTGCGTTTTGAACGCGGGACTTTAAGCAAATCTTGCCACTTGGTTGATCCGGCTCTCCAAGTCCACGTCACCATGTTGAGATCCTCCAGGTCACCTATAGGGCATTAGCCCCCACAACTGTACAGAGAAGATCGGCCAGTTGGTCGCCTCCCGACTTCCTTGATCAAGCACTCTTTTTCCAGCCACAAAAGATCACAGCTCCTGGCATGCCCCTTGGATGGATGGCCCTCCTGCCATTTTTCCAGCCACATGACAGATCCTGGCATGCCCTGCATGCCCCTTGGATGGATGTTCAAGGCCCCAAGGCCGTCCTGGATTCGAAGCCCTCGAATTTGCAACCAAAAGCCCTTCGTGCCTGGATCTCCTGCTTCTGCTCGTCGATCTTGCGCTCATCCTAGTGGCGGGGCAGTGACTGCGCGCGACGGCTAGGAAAATGCACCCCAAGTCACCGGAAGAACTATTGTGGAAACCCATGGAAACCGGGTTAGAAGTGCAAAAGGCTTCAAAGTACGACAGAAGTGCCCTTGTATGCTTGCGATGCTCTTTCTGGTGCTGCTTCAGAAGCTTAAGCCAACAATCCCCGCCACTGGCTAACCATGATTCCATGTGATTTCCGAACAATAGACCTTTGAGCCTTTGGCCACTAGAGAGTCTCCAAAACAATACACCGCAACAAAGTTGAAGACGTGCAAATAAATCCAAGCCATAACGTGCCATGATGTGGCATAGTCTTACACCCGTGACCGGTTCTCCCCTCGTCTCCTGCACTTGCTGGTTCTGCAGCATCTGGTCGCTGGCGGAGGGTCCCACTGGCCCCAAGGGCACCGGCACACCCAAGCCGAAGCCGAAGGGCGAGCCGAAGCCGAAGGGGGAACCAAAGCCGAAGGGTGAAATCACCTCAGTGAGAGAGATTGAGGTGGGTGGCAGATTTGGAGGGAGAACATGTTGAAACTCGTTGAAGGCTCTTGGAGTTGGAGGATGGGGGAGGATAGGGGAGGAGGTAATTCCTAACTGCACGGGAAGGTTTTCGACAAGAGCTTTTCGTTGGAGCTCGTGGACTCGGCACTGACTTGCACAATGCATGGTCTTGTTCGGCTGCCCAGTCGCAGGTCCTCCAATGCCCACAGAGATGTTGGGACCACCACCGATGCGGGGGGAGGTGGAGCTCCTGCCCAAGTGGTGCTCCCCCAGTGGCTGATCTCCCAAGTCAGGTCCATGTGAAGAGCTCTTTGTCCTCCCAAACTGGTGCAAGAATTCTGCCTTATCCTTCAAGAGTGGTAGCGGGACTCTTGGGGAATCCCTGTGGGTCACACTTCCGTAGGTTCGGCTTTCAATGTTTGCCTTTGTGCGGTGCTCTCCGTGGAGGGTTCTCCTCACACGCACGCTACTTACAGGGGTCAAGGTTGGAGTGGAGGATGCTTTCGCATTTGTACTTCTTCTTTGCTGAGGCACGCCTGTTCCATCTTCTCTGACTAAATCACCATCAGAAGGCCAGCCGCCAACAATCCCAAAAGAAGCAGGTAACTGCATTGTTGATGGACCTGTAACGAGTGAATATGAATGAATGAATGAATGAATGAATGAATGAATGAGTGGGTGAATGAATGAATGACAAGCGGTGCTAGGCTCTGAAACTGGGTCATCTATAGAAAGAAGCGGGAAGAAAAAAAAGCAACATGGCAACCAAAGACGTGATCCCTCCCTACCTCCCGCCCCATTCGCCCTCCCCTACCTGGCAGTGCTGTTGGCCCTAGGCCTGGGCGCGGCGCGTGGCGCGGAGCCCATGCGGCTGCTGCCGCCCATGCGACCGCCCGAGCGGGCGGCCTCGGCCGCGTCCATGGGCAGTAGCGCCAGGAGAAGCGCCAAGAGCGGCACGGCCGCGGCACGGAGGGTCCAGGAGGGTGTGGCCTCTTGCGGTTTTGGGTGGGATTGGCAGGGGGAGGGGTTGATGGGATGGATGGATGGTGGTTGGACATTGGAAATGGATGGAAGTGGGGTCCTGCATGGTAAGCTTTTGGAACGGGAATAGGATGGAATAGGAAGTCTTGTGTTGCCGAATGGCGGTGGAGAACGGAGCCCAGGGGATCGAAGAAAACCTCGGTACTGTAAGAGGTCCTGTTGAAGCAACTGCTTCCCGGCATGTTATATTAATGCATGTCATAAAGGTATGACTTAACATATAGGTATAGTGTATCACTTGGTAGAAGCTCAGTGACCAGCAAAGGGGTCCCTTGCGGCATTTCCTATGTAGGTGCTGTGTTTGATTTGGAGCTCCCCCCGGCCTCGCTCTGCTCCGACTGCTTCGACTCGCTCGTCCAAGCGCCATAGCTGCTACCCTTCTCGGCGGCCAAGGCCACGGGCGAGCTCAGGCGAGCTGGGGCCGCACGGTCGGGCAGCGGTGACACGAAGAGAGGCGTGGCCACCTGGTTTTTTGCTCCGGACGGAGGGCAGGAGCTCGAACAGAGTGAGCGGGTTGAGGGAGCGAAAGCATGAATGATTGGAGGGATGCTTAGTACATACAGCAGGCCTTATCATCCTAGCTTCGCTCTTTGGCATTGGTGCTGACAGGAGGCTTGACACATGGTCAATCCCTGTCGCCGAATGGTGAGGTCGTTCTCCTTTTGTGGTGTGTGAGTGTGCATGTGTATAGGGAATCTGTATGCTCAAACCAGTGTGTTTGACATACCATCGACGCTGACCGCCCGATGCGAGTGATAGTAAATGCTTGTACATATATAAATGCATTCTTTCCGGTGGCATCAAGCCCCTCAACTTCAAAAAGCACACTCTGCTTTTGTCACCACAATCTTTTAGCCCTACTGGAGCTTTTGGGGAAAGGGAGGTACTTCAAAACCATTCTGGGAATGGTACTTCATTCCGAGTCAGTCAACAACCCAGGGAAGCTTTCAAACTAGCCAGGCCTTCTCCTATAACCATGCATTCATGCCGCTAACATCCCTTTCGTCCCTCTTGCGTGGACTTATCTCGCTTGGATCGCACACATCTCCTTCCTGCCCTCACCAACCCACCAAGCGTTCACCGTTCATCGCTTCCCAAGTGAGTGGTGCTAGTTTAACAGCTCATCGCATAGATCGAAGCCAAGTCACCAAAGCCAAGGCAGTGGCTGCGCAAACGAAGGCAATGAGACGTGCCATGGCCAAAAACCAGCGACGATTCTTCGGATCTTGGAGGATGGGCACAGCCGGGTACAGCTGCAGCGGCTTTGTTCCGACAAATGGGCTCCGTATGTCCACCCTGTGGTCCAAAAGTGAATCATCTTTGGTACAAGGCTTTTGGAAATCCCAAACTGCAAAATCTGATCGATTTTGAGGCTTGGGGCCACTCCGTATCCAAACCTTTTGCATGAAGTTGGAACAAACAAAATCTGCAGGTTTGAACATGCACAAAAGCGTGCGTGCAAGTGGATTGGAACAGCACGCGAGCAAACTTTCAGTTCGTACCGATCTCTTTGCTTGAGCTTAAGCCTGATCCCACACAGAGATCCATTAGTGGATTCATTGGTTGATTCCCTCATTTTTCCCGAACAGCTGCGAAACAACCAGAAAAACATAACAGGAAAAAAACCCACTTGAACCAGACCTCAGGCTCAACCAATCGAACAACCTCGCACGACGGTGCCTGACATGGCAAGTGGGAACTGGAAAAATGGCAGCCACCCTCAACCGTCTTGCTGAAAAGAAATGAAAACCGGAGCTGACCTCAAATACCTCTGTGCAAATGGTCCGACCTGGCTCCTGGAGAGGTGCACGGCCAAGCTTTCACGCTGAGGCCCCGCACCATCTTGCCCACAGGGCACGGGGGGCCCAAGTCCACCCGGTCACAAAAATGAGGAGCCAAGGGTGTCTCTTGGGGCCGTGTCAGTCGTGTCCAGTGAAATCTGTTTGGCTGAGTCAGGGTGTTTCTGGCTTAGGAGTGTGGCGAGCTAGGGGCGCTACTTAGGGTGTCGGGTGTGGAGCGATGGATCGCAGAGAGTATCTGGGGATCAAGCTGCTGAGTTGAACCAATTTCGTGTCCCATTCAGTTGCAGTCCGGTGCTTGGCTAAAAACCTGCATGTCTTCAATAGTTTCAATATATCCACATCGTTCAATTTCAGGCTTTGTCCTAACATCTGTGCATCCTGAGTCCTGGTGCTTTTCACGAACCGTTTCACGACTTTGAGCAGCTCGGATCGCCAGATATCGCGGGGCGTCGGGTGGTGTGTCCGGACTGCGGGACCAACCGGGAAACAAAGGGGAAACACAAGAGCACAAGTAGAGGATCTTCCTTGGAGGCTCACAAAGTGGTGTTTGGTTCTCCAACATGCACCGCGCTGAAGAAATCTGGAAAATATATCTCCCAGAAAAAGGAATGAGGATGAAGAAATCCATCCACAAGGCTCTGACCCGGGCCAATTGGTTTAATCCTTCACTCCTGTCCAGCTGCTCATGTCTGCAGTAGTGGAGCCATTCCGAACTAAACGTGGGTAAGCATGGATCATATGGATGGAACCCTGCCCGATACACGACTTGACAACTTGCTCCCAAGCCAGTGCCACGATGTCAAGCGAGGCTCACCGCAACCCGCCAGCTGCTAACAACCTGCACCCACTAAGGTCCTCCCAAAGATAGACCAAACACTACTACATTGACTACATCTACTACTACCAAATCTTTAAAGAAATTCTAAGAACCTTTCTCGACCTGTAGACCCAACCTTGCCATTCCAAAGAAGACCCCTGCAATCTGCAGGTGCCCGATTTTCCCAGCACCTCGGAATGTCTATCCGCGCTGCTCCGCGGAATCCGCGCTTCGCCGGGCTCATTGCGTCTGCGTGAGGTTCGCCAAAACCTCCCCGCCGGGAAAGCGTCCCTTTTTGTGGAAGCAGCCGGAAAAAAAGGGTTTTCATGCACACGAGATCCTGCACTGGCACCGACCCGCACTTGCAGTGGTGCGTGATGAATGTGGTTTGGGATTGAACTGTTGGATGCTTTCCTAGAGATGTGCCTGAGTTCAGGGGCCCTTGGAAAAGGCTTCATATTCCTTTAGCTTCTACAAGGCCCATGAGTATATAAGCCAGCCCGTGAATGAGCTCCTATAGGCAGTGGACTCGTTTCAGTGAACATGTATGTATGTTGGTCAAGCTGACAGAACTTTGCATAGCTTCATGTCAGAAATAAGCATTGAGTGGATCTGGAAGGGTTGGGAACATCTCGGACCTCCACATTTCTGGCCAAATGGGCGATGTGTGGAACGGACTGCCACGTCCCCGTTCTTGGGAGGCTTCCAGCTATGTACAGCGCACATGGTCTCGAATCCCGACCACCACCAGGTCCTCAGCCGTCCTGTGGCATCTGCCCAGCGGCTGACCGCTCAGCCTTGGGGATGCGGTAACCAACAACCAGAAACCGCTCAGCATGGCTTAACATAGCTCAGCTATGAGGTCTCGATGTTGCTGGCTTCCTGGATCACCTCCTTGGAACCAGACCTTTTCAACGCTTCCACTGCAGTAGCCAAGGTCCTCAGGTCCAAAGCGCTCGTTTGAGCGGCACAGTTCGAGCGCAGATCCCAGACGGGCGCCATGGCTTCGCAGATCGTCGCTTTGGTCGAAGCCGGCGCCGGCTTCGTGAGAGCGCGCACCGCTTGGGCGAGCTCCTCCGTGTAGCGATGCACTTCCGTCTTGTCGGGCTCCACTCGCGCGTCCAACGCGCGGAGCAGTGCCTCGTACACCTCGGCCAAGTATGTCTCGAATGAAGTTCTCGACACCTGCTGGGGCAGACTTGGGAGAGGAGGCAAAATGTTGGAAGGCCTTGCCACGGTAGATGTGCTTGATGGGGCAGGACCTTACAGCTGGTTCCTGGCCACAAAAGTGTACCATATGTAGCTAGAACAAAAACTGATCAACTTACAGCATCAACACCACCGTACACCACCTACAAACACAAACGCTCTCAAAATGTCAGCCCAAGCTAGAACAAGACACCTGCATATCCAGCCGCTTTGGCAGCCGCCACGGCCCCTTTGCTCAACTCAAAGCACTTCTTTGATCCCTGGAGCCAACTCTGATCATCCGTCCACGCCAAATCAGGCCCTAAGGAATCCACGGCCAACCGTGGATGCGGTGCACGTGGTACATGTGCCGCCTTCCACTCCTTCTTCCATCCAGCCTGCGGTTGCGAATTGAAGTTGGCATAGCTAGGACCGCTCCCCTCGCCCTCGCCGTGACCGCGACCGTGTCCGGTGCGCGGGTTCGCCAAGCGCTGCTCGCGCTCGACGACGCGCACCAGGCGATTCACTACCTGCTGACCACGGGCGGCGTCATTGCGGGTGGCATGCTGCTCCCGCTTCTGGCGACTCGTTGGCATGGCTTTTGGAGTGCACTGCCATACCCGTCAACAAAAAAACAAGGGTGGCTGGGGCCTTGGGCCGTGGTTTGCCGGCAAGATCTACTCAAGTTCCGCTGCAGGTAGCCATTGGCTGATCTTGCACAACATGTTCTGGAAAACCCGTTTTGCTACCCAAACCGCGTCACAGGTTGGTGGGACCTGCTGTGGGATGCACACCTGAAAATGCTCCACAAGTGAGGTCGAGATCGGGTTCAAGAGGGTGGGAAGAAATCAGGACTTCGGTGGAGAGAAAGAAAGGAAGGAATACAAGTTTAAGGTGCGAACAAAAGGGTTGGCTAATAGCAAGGAATGTTGCTCATGACTCATGCCTCTCAACTCCGCTCATGGCTTCTCCAGAGTAGTCTCCCAACTTCTTTTCCCTGGACACCTCATGACACCTCCCCTCTTTCATGGCGGGACCACGGCACAGCCCCTCCCCAATAAGGAAAACGCATACCTCGGCCCAAAGCCACCGTCTCCAGTCCTGAAGTCAACCCGTCTTGGCATCGAAATTTTGGCGGCCATTATTGAAAAACTCCTTTGCATAGTTAGGTGCCAGAAACCTGGAAGTTCAACCTATGCACCTTTGCCTTTCGGAAGTGCGAGTAAAAACGGAGCACCCCATCCAAGCGTGAACCTTCCATTATATCTTTATTAATTAGTCTGGCTTCAAAAGGGGAAAGGACATGCAATGACGGGAAAATGCCACAGCATCGATGGAGAAAACTGTCACACAGGGCCTGGTCGTCCTGGTTCAGCTCCCAGGTTCCACGCAAAGGCTTCCTCGGCTCACCCCAGGCCACTGGCATGGGCCGGCAAATGTAGTTATATGGAACTCCATGTTGCGACTGGTTTGCGTTGACTATCGGTGGCTTGCCAAGCCAGGAATAGTCCCACTGGTTTGGAATGCTCTGTGGTCAAAGGTTGGTGTGAAAACCCCTCATCCCCTCTTGCTGGGTGGCGGGAACAAAGAACACTCATTCAGGTGGTGTGGGATCGTGCTTTGAGAGCGTCACGCGCCCTTGATCACCAACAGCCCCCTGATGGCAATGCCATGATTGCTCCTTCATGGCATCTACAGCCTGGGGATCACTTTACAGTAGTTGATTGGTGCCTCAAATGAATGCCTACACCAAATAGGAACCTCCCAAAAGAAAAGAACGCGGGAAACCCATCGGAAGTGCAACCCACCTCCTGGAATCAACAGGTGTTTACATTTCAGTGCGGGGAAGGCACAATACATCTATGTACATCTCAGACTTTGGAAGGCTCACGGCTTGAGCTTCCACCCGTGGTCATGAAACCAATTTATTCCCAATTGCCCAGCGGCTGGCCTGACTTTGGATCCAAGAGGCTCATGTAGAAGGGCAATTCGTCCGTGATGGCCCGGCCTTCAAGTCGATCCAACAATCCATCTTGCAACTCATAGCCTCAAGGACCTGCAGGAGAACCCTGTTTGGCTGAGGTCGCGTCGGGATGCTTGGAGATAGAGACGGATCAAACGAGGGTGTAGGACCCAAAGGCTGCCATATACCTGCTAACAATGGAAAAAGCTAACAATGGAAAAAACAAACAAACACCACATTGATGAAGGCAAACTGCTAAACCAGGAGGTGAACGGTCCTTTTTCTGAGATTGGTGCAGAGATCTTCAAGCAAAGAAGCATCAGGTGGCCAAAGCCCTGAGCAGTCTTCGCGCATTGCACAAGATGTGACAAGAGGCTGCAGGTCATGCACGGCGTAGTGTTTACGCATTCGCATCTGGCCGCTGCCATCGCTATGAGTTGTTTCTCCGCCCACCTCGAGATCATAGGGACAGGCCTGGAGCACCACAAACGCGCACATGGTCACATGGTAAAGAAAAGGCATCTATATAATGAACCAGGAACGGTGCATCGTTGCATCACCAAAGAATTGTTGCAAGAGGCTGGCAGCCCCATGCCTCCATCTTTTTGAGCATTTCGTCCTGGGCCTTCCTGACATCAAGCACATTCCTGCCGCCCAGGACATGCAGTTGTTTTCCAACAGCTTGCTCTTTCAATCCGTTGAGGCTGAAGCGGATTTTGCCACCAGGATGTTTCAGAATATGAATACCAAAGGGACTGTAGATTGCAAGCCACAGTTCGTCAAACATATCACACGCACGAACTCCACCGCTTGCACACTGGATGTTCGAGAAAGAACATTCCCAACGTCTTGGGCCTTGGTTGAAACGCATCTGCCCGTGCTTGACTTCTACTCTGACATCACCACGAACCCAGTCTACTTTGGACGAAGCTCGCGAATATGAACAACCTGGATGAAGAACTTGGCGGTCCACTTCGAAGGCTATTTCCTCAATTCGCAAGCCACGAAGCTGTGGTGACATATGGTTCAGTGGCACGGCTTTGTATGCATGGTCTTGAAGTTTTGTCAGTTCTTGTATCCGCTGAGCTACCCAGCTCCTGAGCTCAGCACCTGATAAATCTATGTGAGCCACGAGTTTGCAGTGACCATGACCTGGAGCCAGCAACTTCTGCAGAATTTGCGATCGTGCAGTTTGCCAGCATTTCTGTCCGGGTGGACCACGGACATGAATGCTATGACCTTCGCTTCCTGTTGACTTGCCAACTGAATACACTCCGGTCCGAAGGTCATGCTTGATGATGTGTAAGCTGTCTGGGCTGAACAGTATTAGGTACAAATGGTCGAACGGGGCCTGGTCGCGAAATCCTGGCCATGGCAGCTTGACGGAACGAAAGTTTACAACCCAACGATTCTCCCTTCTCTTCCATGACATTTGCGCACTTTTGCATCTAATTTTGGCACCGTCCATGCTAAAGTCATACTCCGCCTGTGAAGCTGACCTCCGGGCTCCATTGCAACGATTCCCCGGGGTAGGTCCTTCAATTTTGCTGCCGGGATTTAGGCGCGCCAGTTCCTTCTTGCAAAAGTCGCTCAGAATCGTTCCACGACGCTTTGAACACACCAAAGACAATGCACGGCCAGCATGACCTGCGTAGGCCTCGCTGGTCTGACCAGGATCATTTAGAATGTGCTGGAATCGCGAAGCGCTCAACACCAAACACCGCAACTGCCATCCAAAAGCACATGCAATCAAAGTTGCTGCTGACACACGTGGCTGCAGCATTGTCACTTGGAAGCCATACACTTCAGTTCACCGTTGAAAAGGGCTGAGCCAAGAAGCATGGTCAGCTGAATGTGGTTTCAGTTGGGCCAGAATATCAGAAAAACACATCCAACACCACCCCTCCCCACCCGGGCACTGGGTGGATTAGCTTTGGTTGATGAGCCTGATTGACCGGGCACGGAATGAAAGACAAGGTGCAACAGCTAATCCCTGAACAACATTCTTGCGGTCCATGCTATGCTGCCCATGAGTCCTCTTTCAATCTCGCCACTACCAAAATGCAGAACAAGTTGAACACCTCCAACTTCTAGCAAAGAACACTCTTCGACAATACCCTTCAGGAGAGTGCAGCCAGTACTATACACGAGGAGTTATCTGGTTTCCTTTTTGGTTCTGCTGAATTCGGACCCTTTTTGGTTGGGGTGGGGCCAAGCATGACACAAGAAAAGTATCCGTTTCTTTTGGGAAGCAATCCACCACATCATTATTTCAAACAAATGCAAGCTATATCATGCAAGAAAACATAAGAAAACTCCCTCATCACTCTGTTGTAAACCTGCTTCCTTAGCATCACAAAGCACCATCGCCTACAGGCCGACAATGTTTTTCTGCTCCTAAAAACCTCCCCACTGAAATTCCTTGGGCATCAACTCCCACATCTTCTCATCAGCCAAATCATCAAAAGGGAATCCAGTTCCTCATGATTCCCAAAATTCGGTGACAGGCACTGTCACATGATTCGACCTCGGGGCCCCCACAGACTCAGGAGGAAGGACAGGTTGTGCGTGATTTTCCTTCAAGTCGATCCCAATTGACGACTTGGCAAATCAATCGCCTTCACCATTCACCTGGCGGCCCAGAGTGGACATGCATAGACAGGTATGGTGGCCCATACCCGGTAGATGTTGATGGTGGCAAGGATCGAATAGAAGTTGAAGTGGTAATGGTAAAGTGCTCCTGACCAAAGTAGGGAACGGGGAAGTCCCAGCATGTGAAACAAAACTAGGGTCACGAGAGAGAATTTGACTTTTTGCTTTGCGTTGCTCTTCCGCACGGCGTGCAAACGGTTGGCTTGGCTTGCAGGTTGCTCTGCAAACTTGGCACGCATTTGCTTCAGCAGTTTTTGCTGCGCTGCTTCCCAGCCTTCAAGCTGTGCACCCCAAGCAGGGCTTTTTCTGCCACCAAAGCCGGCGTAAGCCCACATAATCACTGGACATTGTCCCAATAAACTGCCGCGACAAAATGGCAGCCCCATTCCTCCATCTTTTTGAGCATGTCGTCCAGGGCCTCCCTGACATCAAGCACATCCTTGCTTCCCCTCACTACCATGCCCCGTCCATCATCTTGCTCTCTCAAACCTGCAGCCCTGAGGCGGACTGTGCCACCAGGATGCTTGAGAAAATGAATGCCAAAGGGGC